ACGAAACCCTACATCTGTGGAACATAAAATTATGAAATTACTGATGAAACAAACTCGAATGTAATCTAACTGGCACTCGTTGCGGTATTCAAGTATCCAAGCAGCTAGTCATACTTACTTATTTCAGGCCCTATTACTATTAGAAACCTGTTGTGTACACAGGTCTCATTAGTAATTGTTCAGGTTTAAAATACACACACTGTCAGTAAGGCACCTTTTGGTTTCGTCTCAAATACAAATACTTAGGGTATTGTAAACTAAAATTTTACTGAACATTCAGTAGGCCTATGTTTTGCTGTTTGTCAGTCTAGCCATCATAAAAGTACAGCTGGTTCAGCCGTCTAGCCGTCATTAAGTACTGCTAGCCTTTTCCTTAAAGTATTTATTCAACAGACTCACAAGAAGTAATTTCAGATTAAATCAGGCATACCCTACACTACAGACAAAACGTTTTAGCCCAACTTCAAACTCCTCTTTTCTTCCACCATAAACCTTACGTAAGCAGTTTTCACATGATGACTTTTATGCTTTCTTAAGATTTCGGATAAAACTCAAACCCAATAAACGGACGAACTTTGTCCTTCTTCCCAACACACGACTAATTTATAACTCTAACAGATCTGAATAATGATTTTTATAATGCATTGCCAAATTTGTCTTGCCTCAGTCCTTTTCCCTCAAAAACATTAAATGAATAAAAAAAAGACGGAAGACTTCGTCTGGTATCAAATGACAAATGGCTGCCTGTGCCAAGACACATTAGCCTATATATGTATCGGTTTACTGCTTTGCTCACCAATTATTCAATACAAAATGGACAACTGACGGTAAAAGAAATGTGTTCCAAAGTTTCAAAGGGAACGGGGTAGAAAGACTTGGTGCAGTCAGATTTGATTCAAAATAAAAGTAAAAGTAGGCCATTCATGGCAACATTTTTTACTGCAAAATATATTTTCAATAATTGCTATCACTATAGAGTCCTGAACAGTGAAACTTTCTTAGCCGTCATTCGGGAACATAAAAAACAAATGTCAGGCAATAAAGGCAGTCATCTTAGGAGTCGAACAAAATCCACATTCAAATGACAGAATTCTGACCTTTAAACAAACTTTGACAAAGTCGAATATTCTATTCATACATGTTGACTGTGCATACACACTACACTAATCCCACCTACATGTTCTGTTCTATAATTACAGTAAATTAAAGATCCCAACTTCAGGTACACTTCTTGACTCTAAAAGTGAAAGTCCATTACAATGCAGAACAGGTTGGGTTTTTTAAAAATTATACCTGCAAGGCAAAAGAAAGGAAATAGGGAACTTGGGGTCTTTTATCTATAATAAATAAGCCTATAATTTAAATAAATTGCCATGGTGAAAGTCATTCTTTTCAGAGCTAGGCTACTCTATAGGCCTACTAAATCTGAGGTACCATTTGTAATTTTATGGCTATAGTTTTTAGTTCTCAGCAGCAGAAGATGCCTTTAGAATACTGTCATAAAAAAACAGCCCTACATTCAAGTAAAGTATGATTTTTATAATTTAGTGATCAATCTACCGGGTTTACTATTTTGTGTTGGCTATTGACGATGGTGAAATAAGCGACAAACCTAGTTTTTCCTGGCAACCTCAAAAGCCCTTTCCAAAGACCAAACAATAACAATTTTAAACAAAGTGGCACAGATAGATAAGAAGATATTTAAAATTTAGAAACACCCACTACACCATCACATTCATTAAACGGTTAATTCTCGTAATAAAAGCTCATGCATGATTTTTAAACAGGAATGGAAAGGTAGGCCTCTATGCTTATGGTACTGAACTGGTTTTAACAAATTTACCAGTGTCCGATAGGAGTAATTTTCATGTTCACTGCACTTCAAAAAAATTTATCATACACATACCATTCATAGAATCTAGACAATTGAGTTGAGCTTTTGAACAGCATTCTTCTCTTCTTATTCCTACAAGATTTAATAAATGAATGTTACATATTCTGATTGTATAAAAGGCCGCCTTCCTGATGCAAGTGCCTGATGAATCAGTATGAAAAATCAAATAGAACTAGATTTAGATCTAGACTTAGGAAGCTGCTATTACGACCATCAACTTTGTTTCTCCCCCACTAAATTTGAATTTGACACTGCTTCTGGATGATTTTAAAAAGTAGCCTTTTTAATATTTTTAGTAGGCCTACTTTCAATATTTTGGACTGAGCCAAACGACAAGTCCAAAACCTAAAACCATCAATTCACTAGTACAGAAGACTTTTCTTGAAGGGAGTGTATACAGACCCGGTAACCGGGAACAAAGTCATAAAGTATACACAGACCCGGTAGGGGAACTCTTATTTTGTGATTTCGGAAAGTTTCAGCGCCCTCTTGGCTCAGGGTAGACCTAGATCTAGATCTAGATCTAGGTTCTTCTAGATCAGACATAAATCATTGATCTAGTTTCGAAGCTAGCCTAGATCTAGATCTTGAATCTAGATCTAAATGAAGATTTTGGATGCCTTTTCAATGAACGATCGTTTTTCCTCCGTTTTGGAGTTGGAGGAATCACAAATTGAAGAAAAGAACAATGTCATAATTTCTCTCGAGCAGTCATTTTCTCTCTCTCTCTCTCTCTCTCTCTCCTGTCTCTGTGTATCGCCCGCATTCTCTTTTTTTTTTTGGTCTCTTTCTTTCTTTCTCCTCACTTATTTTCCACTCTATCTTTCTCTCATTCCCTCCTGCCAACTGGGGCATGTCATAGCATAGATCTATACATTTTGCTAGCACTTCTCCCTGCTCTCTCTCTCTCTCTCACACGCACACACACCACACACTACCGGGTCTGAGCGCTGAAACTTTCCAAAACCACAAAAGAGTTCCCTTACTCTTATCGGTCTGTATACTTCGTGACTTTGTTCCCCGTTACCGGGTCTGTATACACTTTGTTTCTTAAAACCTTTTTTGTCACGCTGAAGGGCTAGAACCTAGATCTAGAAGGCCACGGGATCGGAAAAGTTAAAGTAAAGAAACCTCTTAGACTCAATGACTGAAATCACATGGGAATGGGAAAGAGAATTCAACAGCTGTACCGACACACATGAAAACACCACACAGAAAATTGGGTACTCTTCGGCGGGAGAAGTGGTCCTGGCCTAACTCCATAGACTCATAGACATGTTATACACAAAATCGGAAACAAAAACGGAAGAAAAGTAAAAAAGCTGACTGAGATGCCAGGGTGAAAAGGCCTATTTTTACGTTTTTTAGTGTGCTGAGAACAATCTTTTTAAAACTGTAAGATCTACTTGAAACCATTATTTTAGCGAAAACGCGACTTCCATTTTTGTTTCCGATTGTGTAAATAATGTAGCTTGGCTTTATGACTAGAATCTAGATTTCTAAATCATTGTTAGACTAGATCTAGATCTACTAGACCTAGATCTATAGAATAGATCCAGATCTATCCTCTAAGCCTACACAAAACTGTTCTGCACTCTTAGTAGATCTTGTAGATCTAGAAATCTAGATCTAGATTCTAGATTAGATCCAAATCTACGGTTTATAGATCTAGTCTACAGTATAGTCTATCTAGGAATCTAGATCTAGATCTAGACCTCTAGACTAGATTCAGACTCTAGATAAAAAATCAACTAATATTAAAATCTAGAATCTAGATCTAGATTAGATCTAGAAACTAGATGATTTTTTATTTGATCAAACACTAGCTTTTTAAATTTAACTAGATCTAGGCCTACATTCACACATCGAAGTGGCTAGCCGTACTTAGATCTAGGTTTGGCCCTATCGACTCAAGCCTGTTAATAAGTACACAGGTCTCATTAAGATTAAGATCTAGATTTCTAGTAAATTATTCAGGTTCAAATACATGCAAGTCAGTAAGGCACCTTTTGGTTTTGTCTGAAATACAAATATTTTAGGCATTGCAAACTAAAAATTTCATTTACAATTCAGCCATCAATATTAAGTAGGCTACGGCTAGCCTGACAGTCTAGCCGTCCTTAAGTACGGCTA